ATGCTCACATTTACCTGAAGAAGACATGGAAGCCCAAATAGGTTAAGGGACCAGTCAGCCTTAGTGTCCCTCAGCTGTTACCCAGATCCTTTTAGCTCGAGTTTACCTTTTTAAAAACTGCTTTCCTTTGTTGATCATGAAATGATTTTTAAGAATATTAGAGAAAAGAAGGACATGGAATGAAAAGAAAAGCATTTACTTTGTGAATTTAACTGACGTTGCAGAAGAATAGAGTTGTCGATTACAGTGAACAGAATGTGCCCATGTATCACGACGTAGTGTCTCTGTCCAGTGATGATGGATCATATTTGGAGGCAGTGATTCCTCTGGAGAAAGGAGAGGAGCTTCTACATGTTTCTTAGAGCCCCTCTAGCCTGTCTCTCTGCCCCGGGCCTCAGAAGCTTGGCATCTCCCTGGACTCAAGTTCCCGTCTGGGCCTTAGGTACAAGGAAGGGGCCCTGGGGCCCTGTCTTCTAAGACTCAGCATCCAGCTGGGCTTGACCCAGGTCAGGCTGTGACCCAGGCTCCAGGACTGATAACTGGGGTGTCTGCCTCCTTCCATAAACCCTAGGCTTTGGTTCTTGTGTCTGGATCCTGTCTTGCTTCTCCAGCCTGAGTCCTAGCTCAGGTAACCTCCCCGACTGTCAGTTTCTCTCAGCCTCTGACCCTGTTACATTGCTGCCAAACTTCACTTCCACCTGGACTGAATCAGAACCTGGATCAGGGTGGTTCAGACCCAATGACCTGCCGACGCAGTCCCCCAGCGAAGCTGGCCTCCCTGCTCTTGTGTTTTGTCTGTTGCTAAGGATCTCTGCCCAGGACTAGACCTACTGCTAACCTTTGGCCTGATTACTGCCTCTTCTGTCTTACTATTCTCTAGGAACGCGGCGCCCTGCCTTCTGGGCCCCTCTTGTTCCTGGCACTGACAGCGTACCTCTGTCCCCCAAACCTCAGCCCAGCCCAGCATCCACACCCATGCTTAAGCTAGTTAGGCCCGGCCTTGACCGAGACAGACCTCTATTGGCTTTCTTCTAAGTGGGGTCAAGTTCTCACTTCCAATAATTAGGCTTCAGTGAGGCATTGATGGGAAAGGGCATAAAGGGGGCCAGCCACTGCTCGGGCAGTAGACCAATGGAGAAGGAGGGGTGGGAGGCAGCACAGCCGGCAGGGGGCCTCTGCCCAGCAGAGTGCACATCTGACCTTCGCTGGCTGCCATCCCGGTGAGAATAAAGTCAGAATGCACTAGCTTGAATGACAAGATCCCTTCTCCTCTAATCTGATTCTCAGGGCCCCTCAGGACACTGGTCACAGTGTCTTATGCTCACCATGCTATAGCATGGACATTGATTGGAGTCCCCCAGGCCTATCAGGCTGTCCCTGGCCCGTCTCTTCCTGGGCCACGCGGTGAGCCTCAGTTTACACTTCTCAACTCTTCCGCTCAGTTTGGTGCCCATCCTTCATGTTCTCCTTAAACACAGTGATTTCCCTAAGTGGGGACAATATTACAGTTCCTGACCCCATATCGCGACAATAGTGTGTGCCCAGGAAATGCTGAATGAATGAATGAAAGAAACTGTCATGCCTCTTAACGTCCTGAACACAAAACCCTAACCTGCCCTCTGCACCCTGCTCATCTAACTCATACAACACCAGACTACGTATGAATCAGGAAGCAGGTTTTTTGTTTCTGGTTGTGTCTTGTCCAGTTGGGAAAAGCCAATGAGAAAGAAATACTTGCTGAGCTTTGGCCTTGGTGCCTCTGTCCTCATGGTCTGTGACACAGGGGGGAAGCTGAACAGGGCTGCAGTCTTGGAAATAAATAACTCTTCCTCTTGTTTAAGTACAATTTCTTTTTTTTTTTTTAAGATTTTTATTTATTTGAGAGAGAGAGAATGAGAGATAGAGAGCACGAGAGGGGGGAGGGTCAGGGGGAGAAGCAGACTCCCCACTAAGCAAGGAGCCCAATGTGGGACTCGATCCCTGGACTCCAGGATCATGACCTGAGCCGAAGGCAGTCGCTTAACCAACTGAGCCACCCAGGCACCCTAAGTACAATTTCTGAAAGAAAAGTTCCACTCTGTACTTAATTGGATTCTTTCTTGCTGCAATTTAAGCCTTCTTTCTTCTTTCCCTGAGTGGAATTATAACTCATTATCTCTGAAGTTCACAGGGGCAGCTTTTCTAAAAGCAAGACGAGGAGCTGACTCTTCGAGCTTGCATTCTCCCCTCACCTTTGTATTCCTGTGCATGTGTCTTTCTCAGACTCCCAAAAAGTGTGCATTTGCTTTAATGAGTTAGGACATAATAGGTTCCTGTGCTATTTGAGAAAACAATTTCCATCTGTTCATATATTGTTAAAAAGTTATGGGTTCTTATTTTTAAAATAAAAGTCTAATCCTTCCCTACTTCCTCTTCTCAAATACTAAATCTCAGATCCTTTGAGGTCCAACATAATTTAAGTGTTAATTCCTTTCTAAGCTCTTTTCAAGCTACTGCACTCACCATGCAGATTTCATTAAACCTCAGAGTCTCTTCATATTGATGTCTTGGAAAAAGCAAAGTAACCCTTGCTCTATATTAAAATATTTTGCTCAGGAGTAGTGTGTTTTGTCCCCATTCTAAAGATGTATTTATTTATTTGGCCTTCAGAAAGGAAACAGAAGTCTGTTAAAACTAAAAGAGAATGGAAGCGCTGGGCTTCTCATCTCATTTGTGGGCAACATCTGGTTATTGTAATTCACAGGGTTCGCTGTCCTGAGCAGTTTCAGCCTTAAATCAGCCTGTGTTGGCAAACAACAATGAGGGCCAGGCCAGGAAAGAAACAGATGAATCTTATGCATGGAATGAGATTAAATAAAGGCATATGCATACCAATATTTCAGTTTCTAATATATTCACCTTGAAAGCCAATCTGTTATTTCAGTGTTGATGACACTGAAAGCCATTCTGTTCTGGAACTTCCCCCTTTAGACTTGGTGTCTAGATCAGAAAGATATGTATTGATTTTGTTTTAACAGCAGAGTAAAATTTTAGTAGTGACATGTATCAGGTGAATGATCAAGTCGGGTCATTCTACGTGAGACTTTAAGGTAGTCAAAAGAGCCATGTTTACATATGGAGCCAGAGACCAAGGCCCTGGGGTGGACACTGCCATTTGCTTTGTGATGTTGGGGATTCTACTCAACTGCTTTATGCCTCAGTTTCTTTATCTGTAAAATGAGAATAAGACCTGTGAAACTTTATGAGGATTTTAAATGAATAACCAAAGTGTGAATCTTGTCCCTGTCACTTCCCAGCTTTTATGTCTTTTCTATATCACTTGTTTTGAGCAATGTCAGCACAGAAATCTGGAATACTGTGCCCCAAGAGATTATTCAGCCTAACAGTCCCATGTTACAGATGAAGAAACTGAGAACCATAATTACAGAGGAAGTACCTAGAATGTCAAGGTGACTCCTTTGAATGAGAGTGCATATTTGGCATTTATATTTACATTTTTTTTTAACAAAACCAATATTGAAAAAAAAACCCACCTCATTTTATTGAAGTCATGCTGGTACACTCTCAAGTTAGATGGATTTCCTAAGAAATGGGACAGCAGTCCTCTTGGGCTTATAGATCAGGATCACCCTGCTTATTCTGTTCAACCAAGAGGAAGAGCAGAAATATCCAGGGTATAGGGGAAAGCAATCATAAGCCTTTTCTCAGAAAGGAAAAGTTTTTGCCCGTGCTTCATATGCTCTGGAGTGTCTTCGTAAACAAAGGGTATCCCTGTCACTTCATTGGCCTCTGGGCTTCTCCTACCTTTCAGCACAGGTAAGCAGAGTGAGGAGGCCACGCCTGGGCTGAGGCAGAGGCTGTCCATGAGAGCCACAGATCGGAGGGGCTGGGAGAGGGGAATGGGAATGATCTAGGAGGAAGAGGGAGGAAAGATAGGTGAGTAAGAAAAGGAAGTTCATTGCCAAGGAGTCGCGGAGGGTCACCGTGGCTACTCCTGGTGGTATCTGTGCTGTTTCTACCTGAACATCATCCCACCAGCAGTGAGAATGTCTGCTTTCTGCAAACAGAAGCACTCTCTGGAGAGGGGTCCCTTCCCAGCTACTCTTAGATACGCAGTACAGTATTCTAACAGTCCCTGCTTGTAAATAAATCTGACTTACTTAGGAAAAGTAAATCCCTGCATATCACCATTGAAATTACTTGTTTCATTACCACACTAAAAAAACAATTCATTGCTTATATTGGAAAACCCATTCTTTTGGCCCCTTTCATTTTTTTTATACAGAGTGTAAATTTTTTTTTAAATAATAGGGCATAAAGATTTCAGGAGGGTTGGTCAATTATTTATTTGTTGATTGAATTATAGGAAGAAAGTGTGATTATCCAATGGAATGCAGAAATGTATACAGCTAATTGTGTGCCTGCATGTACTTAACCCAACCATAGTAATCATTTTTTGTTTTTTATTTCCTGGGGGAAATAGGTTAGGTTGGACCTGAATGCATCATTATAAAGTATGCACATATAAATTGAACTTTTCCAAATCTAGGTCGCTTGGATAAGAAGGCTCTTTTGATAAAACCAGACTGACAATTAGATTCACAGGGCACTTCAGTGTTAAATGATATTCTTCCCACATTCTGGGTCATAAGGCAGCGAGCGTAAACAATACACCGATGTTAAGAAACAGAGAATCACATTCGCAACAATAACAAAGCTTCATGGTGCATGGTTTTCCACTTTAATATGCTGTGTTCTGTTCTGCCATGTTAATGTTTTAAGTGATATAATTTCCTTTTCATGTAGTTTTAAGTTCATCTTATTTTCTCTTTGTCTTTCTGCAATAGCTTTCTATAATGCTACATCTTATGCCGGGAGAAATTCCTAACCAAAAAAAAAGCGTAAAGTCAAATAATCTTTGCAGGAAAACAGCAAAAAAAAAAACAATGAAAATTGATTTAAGATCCTCCAGCCAAAATGTTATCTTGTGTACTTTACAGACTCAATCTGTGTCCCAGGCTTCGATCCAGGCCTCAACATGATGACTGGGATCACCCCCATTAACCCAATGATACCAGGCCTGGGGCTTGTACCACCCCCACCACCAACAGAAGTGGCTGTCGTCAAAGAAATAATCCACTGCAAAAG